AATGTACTATTAAGAAAATTCGAAAACAACAAAAAAAAATTAAAATTTTGAACAAAATGGAGAATAACTTAGATAATCAAATAAATAAAAATCGACAAAGACCTTTAAAAGATTATGTTAATCCAACAGCAGATGAACTTCACTTTTCACTTGACTATTCAAAATCCTGATGTTGTTGCAAATTTATTTGAGCTTAAATCTACTATTATTCAAATTGTACAAAATAATCAGTTTGGAGGAACACCTACTAAAGATCCTAACTTACATCTTGTTAGTTTTCTTGAGATTTGTGCTATTTTTAAACTATGACGAAGTGTCTAATGATGTTGTTAGGCTTAGACTTTTTCATTTTTTATTAAGGGAAAAAGCCAAAAGCTTGGTTAAACTCATTAACACCTGGATCTATCAGAACTTGGAGAGAACTATCACAACAATTCTTGTCAAAATATTTTCCACCCTCGAACCCTCGAAAACCGCTAAGCTGAAAACCGCTAAGCTTAGAAACGATATTACATCTTTTTGTCAGTTATATATGAAGTCTGGAAAGATTTAAGGATCTCCTAAGAAAATGTTCACACCATGTTTTACCAGATTGGTTAATAATTCAAACTTTTTACAATGAATTAGTAGGATCACTTAGATCTATTATGGATGCAGTTGCAGACGGATCTTTAATGTCAAAACCTTTTGATGAAGTAATTTTTTTAATAAAAGAAATGGCTACTAATAATTTTCAATGGCCTTCTGAACGGGTAAATCCTACGGGTAGGTAAATCCTAAGAGAGTAGCTAGTATTCATGAATCTGATGCAATGTCTATTTTAACATCTCAAATTGCTGCTATATCAAAAAAGATTGATCAAATTGGAGTGAACTATTCTCAAATACCACCAATATTGGAGGAAAATTCACTAGGACAAATAATTGATACTCAATCATCTTATGAAACTTTGAATGATATTAATAATCGAAATAACAATCCTTATTCTAACTATTACAATCCTGGATGGAAAAATCACCCTAATAACAATTAAATAATTGTTTTTAGTTAATTTGAGCATGTGGGGATAAGTATTGTACAGTTACAATCTTTGTGAAAAAGAAACATAATAAAACCTATTTTTAACTTCATGTGAAGTAGGTTACAATATGCTTACTAAACTTTGTGAAACAATAAAAGAAAATGAGGTTAGCATGTTTACATTTAAAGGGAATTAGTATTTGATAGGAACATAGCCTCCATATATAAAAATTTTTAGACTAATGCTTTTTTTAAACATTTTAAGTATTGAATAGAGGGGGAATGTGGAGTATTTAATTTAGAGAAATGGAGTTGAAATTCAAAACCTTTATAAGGCTGATCTAGATATAGTAATCCTCAAGGAATTAAGCTTAAGATTGAAAAAGTTTCATCCTAAAGAAAAGTGGTATAATTGAAAAATATTTGGAGGAGAAGCTTGAGGAGAAGCCATTATCAAATTTGGTTTCATTAATATTCCTTTTTAAATTAAATAACTCCACAACACTCCTAACTTCATTCAAGTTTATGAATTATTAGTAAATTAACTGTGGGAGAGCTTACTTCTTTACATTTGACATAAAATGTGCTATATTTAACATTTACCTTTCCTTTTTACATATATATGAAAGCCCAATTTATTTGGAAAATCCAAAGCTTTGTATGGCCTAAGGTGTAAACTTGTTCACTTAAAGCTCTACATTTTTTTAACTATGAATCTTTTGAAGCCAAATTTTGTATAGCTTACTATGAAACCCACTCCTTTTAGTTAATTAAAACAATGTTTTAAATTGTGGTGTTACTTGAGGACAAGTAACTCTTAAGTTTGAGGGAATTTGATGCATGGAAAAGTTAGCTATTATTGTTAATTGAATTTATACATGATTCATGGATGAAAATGCACTTGAAGAAAGGTATTTTTTATTTATTTTGAAGGTACAACACGTAATTGAAGTAGAGAAACTATAAAAGGACTTGGAGCTAGATAGTACAAAGTGGCACTAACACCTAGGCGCGAGACACTTGGGTGCCTAGGCGTCAGTCCATGCCTTACCAATCAGAGAGGTTGGGGCTTAGGCACCAATCATTGGGCTCCTAGGTGTCAGACCCTGACACTTATGTGCCCATTCATTCCTTAGCATACAGAGAGCTGGGCAATTAGGCGTCAGACCTCTTGGCGCCTAGACGCCAACAACTACCTAGAGCAGTTGCTACAGTTTGCGACCCTAAATGTTGGGGAATGTGTGGGGGATCGTGTAGAGTTGTGGAAGCTGTTGTAAAGTGTCTATAAATAATCGAGGAATATAGGCTTGAGAAGATGATGCTCTTGGGAGTACTTAGTGGATATTGTTTGGAGTTCCTTATTCCAGTGCAGGGGATTGATTTTGGCTAGTTACTTATGGGTTTTTCTTGCTTTGGAGAGCCATAGTTCTTCTTCTAAGTGTCGAGGGAGTGGTGTTCTTCCAAGCAGGGAATAATGAGTCAGGAGGAGTGCTAATTGGATTCATCTTTGGTCATTGTAAAGAAGAAATAGCTAAGTATGTCTATTTCTTGTTTGTGTATTTCTAATATAACTAAGTATTAGTGGATTTCTATTTTGTTCAATGCAATTGTTTGGTGATTATAGCTTACTTCTTGGAGAAACTCTTAACCCTTCCATGTGAAGATTAAGTAGGATGATTAGAATGTGAATTACTTGGTAATTTCACTTATTTTAAATGGTGATGATTAAGCTTAAAATCTTAATTTACTTTTCATTCTGGCCATGTGAGTTTTTAAAACTTGTTTTGAATCATAATTCTTGGAAAAGTCTATAGTATAATGAACTAGGTTAATTACATTAAGCTACGGGGTATATGTTGATATGCCTTGTGGGGAGATACAAATATTAAGGAAATATGCTTTGAAGGAATAGTTATGAGATTTAAGAAATTAAGGAAATTTCTATCCAAGCTTCTTTATGCACTCGGGAGAGGGTAAAGAAGATTGTTGCTCTTATTTGTCACTAGTCTTTTTATACTAGAAACTTTATATCCCATGTAATTCACTTAACTCATTATATGGAAGGGCCTCTTAAGTATTTGATATCTTTATAATCCAAATTATGATAAGTAGGATTTCTTGTGTAGGATTTAACTTTCCATTCTCTGTGACACAACAGGATAGCTTTATAGGACTTTTAACCACATTAACTTTCCAGGCTAGGACTAAAACCAGTAGGCTAGAACATTTCCTATTTTGAATTACCTCGTTCCTTATGGTATTGACATTTTAAACTGTAAAATTTGATATTACTGATATGACACGTGCACTTACGTGAGCCTCCAGTTATGGTTGAATCTGGAAGTGGTATCAATAGGTAAAACTATACATACTCAAAAATCCGATGGATATCTTAGACACATATTACCTAACATCCCTCATAGAACAAGCTCTAAGATATAGTTTATTTTTTGTCTTTTAAGTTTTTTAGGCATTTTCTATGATAACTTAATAATTTTAATTTGATATATTTTCATAACGTGACTTCATTGTCGATGTAGAGATTCTTTCAGCCCTTTTTGGCACTTCTAAGGATAATCTAAGGTAGATTGCGATAGAAAGAATGAAAGAGCTATGCAATTGAATGCAACAATGAGTGTAAATTTCAGACACACAATAGACATATGATGCCTCAACCGAGGATGTGTCAGTTCAACCACAAACGCAAGTCGACCCCTGACCATCCACTGGCTTTCTTTGAAATCTATGACGTATCTGGTACCACCATCATAAACTTTTGATATGGTACTCCCATGATTTACAACAGGGAGTACAACATGGAGTGGTCAACAGTTTTAGGGCATGGTCTTCCACACTTGGACGCCACAAGCACTTCTAGATGCCCATTGGCACACCACCACTATGCCACCTTCCAAGGAGCTGGAGTTCTGGCAGTAGCCTGTCTGTTAGTAGTTCACATCATATCATGTCCATCAATCTATTGACAAAAAGGAGGAGGATATTCGTGGGCCTTTACAAGAACAATAACAACACTTACGGGATCGACTGTGACCCTCCAGATCATTAAACTCTAGATGGTGATAACACTCCACCCAAATAACACCATTAGCTGTGGCATTAAATATAGAGATTACATTACATGTATTTATTTCATTGGCTTTTCTGATGTATTTTATTAGAGTATATATATATATATATATATATATA